ACAAATTAAAGGTTCTTTCCATTAACAAAAATAAGCATTCATTGTTTCTGATGCTTGTAGCCTTGTGTGCATAGCAAGAGACAACTGTATCTACAGTACAATACGAATTTGGCGCCCCTTTAAAGACACACAACAGTTCTCTGCCTGCTATTAAAAAGGCACTGTGTTCTTAATCTACAGTGTACACTTTGACAAGCTTATTTTTAAAAACAAGTAGTAAAGTTGAACATACTATAATGGTTTGCACAGATTTTTAGGGTTTTATCCCTCCTCATGAGAAGGCGAATTGTTCCCTTCTCCTTGTGTTTTAGGAGTTTTACGTCACCAGTTCCTCGTTCTTTCCATTCTGGAAGGTCATTCTCGGATGCAAATCGAAATAGCTTTGCTCGCCTTGAAGAAGAGAGAATTCAAGAAGTTAGCCTGCATGTAGAAACATTTATCAAAAAGCAGACTTGACATGATCAGTACAGTTGTTGTTTTAAAAGCCACACACAACAAAAAAAATTATTACTTTAGTAAGGTTCCCTGTTCTGCTTCAGCATTCAAACTGAGAAACTGATAAAAGAAACCCACATTTAGTAATAAACTATTAGGAAATATGCAATATTCTAATATTCAAGAGGTTCTGGACACATTTGGGGGGGGATGATAAATGTATTTGGTGTAGGCTACCTTTTAAATTAAGGTAGCTAATTAACACATTTTGCTATAGCTAGAGTTTTTCTATCTATTATGAATACAACTGCTCCATCCAACCAGCAATATTTATTAATTCAAGAAACTGAGCACCTTGAGGCTAAGAAAAGACTCTTGCATAATTCCAAGCCCAATATTTGATCAACTGTTAACAAAGTGCCTCACCCTCTAGAGTCACTCATTTCCTTTTAACTCCTAAAACTTAGTTGTTGCTTTTCTTAACTCAGGAATAAAGGAAGTGCTGCACTGCAGTGCAACATACCTGCTTCAGAACATCCCTGTTTAATTTCCCAAGATGGTAGTATGCCAAAAGAGAAACAGCAGTCTGGTACATTAGCCAAAACTGACCCAAGAGGCTGTCTGAGCTCTGCTAGTGAGGAATTTAAGATTCTGCTATAGAAAAGGAAGCACCTATTCACATGACAGGATATATATGAAAATGTAAAAGAGCAAGGCATAGGGAATTGTAATAAGGCAGGTCTTTCATGAAAAAGATGGGACATGCAACTCTTAACAGATGCTCTGATGTAGAACTACTTGGTTCCAAAGCAAGTCCTTCCTTTGAAGTCCAGCTGGGGACTCAGTAGGGAATAAAAAGGATTCCTTTCCTCCTTCACCCCTTTGTAGACATAATAAACCTACAGAGCACTGGAACATACACTGTTATTTCCCCCACTTCCTTCTTAATTAAGAAAATTTCTTCTTTCCATCTGATATTGCATGTCACATGCACAGAGAGGCCTAATGGTCAGAGACCTCATCATACTTGTCAAAAATTGACCACTGCTTTAGTTTTTACCAGAATTTGTATAAAGAGAACTCAAATCTCTCTTCCTGATGAATAACACCCTGCTGTGATTAAGTAAAAGCAGTATTTTCTTAAACCTATTTAAAGCAAACACATCAGGGATCACATTCAAAACACTGCTTAAGCCTTTAGCCTCCATATTTCTTCAGACAGATCATACATCTTAAGCAAGCTACCATGATTTGAGAACAAGCCTAATCTAAGGATAAAACTATGTTTAACACAACAGAAAAGTACTAGCATAAATGTCCCCATACTGTACTGCATCTACTGCCTTTATTGTTTCAGCACATCATACATACATCATCCTTTACAACTGGGGATGCACGGCAGCTACACTACATGCATCTCACCACCCCCCCACACCCCCCCTGATACTTGTTTTATACTGTGATCACACAGCTTCAAACCTCTGATTATTATCCAAGTCAATGTCTTCCTACAGGCTAAACAATATTAAAAGCAGATTTCTGGTATCAGCTCCCTTCTATTTTTCCAGACTTCAGAGTCTCTTGGGGCATTATTATCAATAATTTCCCCATTCAACCTCTGCTATCACAGTAAATAGCTACCAACTTAGGTTACCACTTCATACACAGAGAATCTTAACAAGTTACCTATCTTTTTATAAACACATCCAAATTTAAGCCTAATAAACATTTACATATATTAATTTAGAAATATTCTACTTGCATCTTAAAGAGTTCTTCCTCATCTTCTTCCAGAGTTTTTATTTCTTGCTCAGGAAGGGAAACTATGGGCTCAAACTGAGGATCATGGTTAGAATCATCTGCATTTTCAGTTGAAGTATCATGCTCATCATGCGTTTCCTGGAAAGAGAGGTAAAAGCCAAAAACTTGCTATGTACTTAAAATCTGAAGTACTCATATCTGTGTTCAAAATTAAAATGTTTGTGACTATTCAGCAATTGGATTTTAGTAACTGAAATACCCTGTAATAATAAAGAAAAATTATTATAGTGGAAAACAAAGGTTTAAAGTAAACATACACCAAAGAAAAGTAAAAAGCTGCCCTTGCAGTGCCAGGTATTTTAGTCCTACCACTCACGAACTGTGCAGAGGCTCAGCTTCGAAGCTCTTCATTATGTAAAAATAATGCCTTCTCCTATTTCTCCTCTATAATGTGTTTTACTAAAGCACTACTATTTCTTAGTGGCTAATGGCCTACCATTAATGGAAAACAAAACCAAACCCCACAAACATACCACCAATACAACCACCTAACCCAGCTTAAGCGACACATTACTTCCAGAAGTTCATTATTCCAATTTTACGTATTGGAATCATCCATAATCAAAGGTATTTTTGAAGCACGGTTGCAACACACATGACTGTTTCTTTTTGCTTTAAGAATTAAAGTTTTTTTGCTTTAAGATTCTTTGTAGAGCTTTACGTTATGGGCAAATGGCCAAAATATGACCTCCTATTTAGTTATTTAAGAATATGCAATAGCATCCATTAAGCTTAAGAATTGTCTTTAGTATGTGACTAGTGACTAAAGGATAAACATCTCCACTAGTTCATACATATGCACTGCTAAGAATTCAGTACAGAAGCCTAGGAGGGAAATTCATCTGCAAGTTTAATGAGGCCACAAACAGCTATCTCAGGTCAAGGGAACTGATTTGGGGCTTTTTGCTGTTGTCTGAATAACAGAAAAAGCAAAAAACAATGTACACATCAAAGACACTTATATCTTATTTTCGCTTTTCAGATGAAAGAGTCCACTCTTACATATTCTGCTTAAGGTTATCTTTTATAGAGCAGGTACGCATCACGCATGAATAAAGCGACTGGCATGAAGCACCCTATTTTCACTAAATAGGAAAAAAATAAATAAGGGTGAAGGGAGAATTAGGTGAGAATGCTGCAAAATAAGTTTTGGTTATGTCAGCATCACAGCAGCTACCATTAGTTTTCTGTCCCCAGTGCTCCAGCACGTAAGAAAAAAGCCAAAAAGGCATTAAGTCACATCAGGTTTTAAGAAAAAAAGAAAAGAAACGTTGGCCAAACTTTTAGATAGTCTCCTCCAGCAGCAAGCAGCACATCCCGTATCGTAATCCATCACCTGTTCCGTGCCTGACCAATTAACTACAGAAGTAGTGAGAAACCCGTAATTCAGAACAGCCACATGTAAGAGAAAGCAGATCCCGTTATCACAATAAGATCCCGTCCTGCCGCTATGCAAGCACGTGGGGCTGCTCCCCTCGCTGGGCCGCGGCACGACGGGTTCAGTCCAGAGGCGGGGGGGAGGGGCTGGAAAGGAGGAGGAGAAGAAAAAAGGAGAGAAAGAGGAGATGGTTCTCTAAGAAGCGGCCAGGTCGCGGACGAAACCGGCTCCAGCTCTCTCGCGGTCGGGAGGAGACGCGGCCGTTGCAGGGCGCCCACTGGGCGGGCCAGGAGCGCACCCTCCCCTACCAAGGGGGGGGGGGGCCAGGCCTCAGGAGACGCACGTGCCCGAGCCGCCTGAAACGGCGGGGCGGCCGCAGCGAGCCCAGCCTTGCGGGACGCGGCGGCGCTGCCGCTACCTCCTTCCGGCAAGGCCCAGAACCCGTCCTTCCCGGCCCCGGGCTTCGCTTGACCTCCGGTCCCCCGCCCGCCTAAATCTTTCGGTTCCTGTGCGCCGCCCCACGCCCGGCCGGCCCTTGGGCCCTGTCGCCGGCCCTGAGCCTCCAGCCGGGCCCCACCTGTTTCCGTTACTCTCCCTCACCACCGTGGCCCGCGCTACCTCCCCTTTTCCCCCGCCCGCATCCCCCCTCAACTCCAGGCCTTCCCACTAAGGCACCCGGCTCCCCTGCCCACCGGAGCGCGCCCGCCGCCCTCACCTTGGGGTCCGCCATGGGGCCGGGCTCACTGCGCGCCGCTCGCCGTTACCGCCTGGCCGCCGAGCTTCCTGCCGCGCGCCCCCGCCCCTCCCGCCTTTACCTCATTCCCGCAGCCCGCGCCGCCGCCGCCGCAAGGCCCGATGGGAAACACCCACTTTCCCTCAGCGCCGCGCTCCTGGCCCGCCCCCGGCGCGCCGCGGCTGGTGAGGACCTAGGAGCGGGGAAAGCACCGGTCGCGCCTGCCCCGGCCTTGCCCTCAGCCCCGTTCGGGGACACCGATCCCCGCCCCGGACCCCCCCTGCTCCCGGCAAAGGTTTTTTTTTTGTTGTCCCGCTCCTGAGGCGCTTCCCATCAGCCCTCGCGGCATGGCGGCGACCGACCCAAGATGGCGCCCGCGTGCGTGACGGACGGGTCAGTACTGTAGTCGCTTCTTAAACACCGGTGTTTGGTTTTCAAGCGACGCGGCTGACCCGCGCGCGAGCGGCGTCAGAAACGGGAATAAACCCGCTTCTCTCCCGTTCCGTTTGTTACGGTCTCTGGGTGACGCCACAGCCCCGCCCGCAGGAGTCCGGCACGAGGAAGCGTGAGGACTGCGCGGGCCGCGGTTGCCCCGGTGTTGGCGCTGAGGAGAGGCGGAGCGGGTGCTGTGGGCGCACCGTGGGGCCGAGGTAGGCCTGGTGGCCCGCGTTGAGGGGAGGCCGGCGTGGGTACTGTGCGGCCGCACCGAGGGGCTGGCGGGAGCATGTCGGAGGACAGCGATCGGTGCGACCCCGACAGCGTCGCGGCTCCTGTGCTGGAGGCTACAGATGGGGCTGAAGTGGAGGGCCAGGAAGATGGAGGAGGGGGTAGCCCCGCGGCCTGCCACGACATGTACAGATACATTAAGGGAGACTTGTTCACCTCCGAGATCTATAAATTAGAAATACAGAACCTTCCCAAATATATCGGGTTTAATGACGTGAAAAAGTTCCTTGCCAAATACGGGCTCAATCCTCACAAGATAAAACTTTTCGGGAAACAGACATTTGCATTCGTAACGTTCAAGAGTGAGGAGGAGAGGGACCAGGCAATGAAAGTCCTGCATGGGGTGTTGTGGAAGAGCCGGCACCTCAGCGTCAGACTTGCCAAGCCCAAAGCTGACCCGATCGCCAAGAAAAGGAAGAAGGAAGAGGAGATGGAGCAGGGAGAGGTGAAGCGTCTGGCTCCCTCCAAAGCCGGTGCAGAGGAGCCCCTGAGCAAACAAATAGCAGATGTTGTGACCCCGTTGTGGAACGTGCCCTACGAAGAGCAGCTGGCCAGAAAGAAGCAGGAATGCGAACAAGTGCTGCAGAAGCTAACAAAGTAATTCCTCTTTGTAAAGCTACTGTCATGTTTACAAGACGTGACGTTATGATGGGATATAGCTAAATTTGCACAAATTGCTATCTCTAAAGTAAGTTAGAGGTAGGTCAAAAACCAAATTCCCATACAAAGTAAATTAATCTGCAATGCTCAGACCTAAAAACTGTTCCAGCTGACAAAGTTTGTTGTTCTTGCTCAGCCTCAGAACATTGCTAAATGAAAGCGCATTCTTTTAAGACCTGTTAAAAAATCTTAATAGGCCTAAGCAGAAGGATGGATGTTTGTGCCCTTGAAAAAATTTGGTACTGTCAAGTGGTGTGAGAGTGGATCAGTCAGTAGAGATGGTAAATCACTGTGAGGATTTTCTCTTTAAAAATCCCCTCAAATATTTATGCCTGATCTTTGTAGATCAAAATATCCCTTCTATCCTTTGCCTCACATAGATAAAGCTGGCATTTTTTCATGCATGGGTACATACTTTTCCAACTACATTTAACTTTTTTTTTTTTTCAGGTACAGATCTTGTAAAGTTGGTGGGGTTTGCATGTTAAAATCATTTTCATCTGATAATACGATACTTTTTATGACCTGTACCAAAAAAAAAAAAAAAAAGAAAAAAAAGTCTTGTGCAACTGTTAACCTCAGTTTTTCTAAATGTGTACTTTAAAATCTTGTTTCTGATTTGGGCAGGGAAATAGGAAATAACAACAGAGCTTTATTACCTTGGTTGTTCCTCCAGAAGCAGAAGTATAATAAACTGTGTTGTCCAGTAGAGGGAGTGAAAGCATCACCATTACAGGTAATGTGATCCTCGGTAAAGTATGAAATGGGATTAATGAGTTTTGGGTAAAATTAAAATTTAAAATGTAAATCTATTTAGCCTTAAAATAGAGTGAGCAAACTGAATATTTGACTTTATCTTGTAATGATTGATGAATTTCAGACATTGCCTTTCAGATAAATACTATGGAAATATTTAGAGGAAGCAGAATAGTTAAAATTAACTGGATATTCTAACTTTAAAACTAACATGCTGTCCCTAGAAGCTTGCATTCTGGGCTGATACATTCTTCAATAGAGGCAATATTTTTCTGTTTAAATGGCAAGATTTACTAATAAGTTTTCATTATTGCTGTTCTCATATATTAAAATCCATTAATAGCTTCCATATGAATCGAATGTCCTATGTTCGCGTGCAGATACATTTAATCATATGAGGGTTGCTTCAGGAAAAACTTGGCATGTACAGTTAAGTGCTATGTAAATATCTTACATAACTTTATTTTAAATCTAGACTGAATATCGCAACAAATGTGAGTTCTTGATTGGGATTGGTGTAAATCAAGAAGACAAAACTGTGGGTTGTCGTCTTGGCAAATATAAGGGTGGTACATGTGCTGTAGTGGAGCCATTTGATACTATTCACATTCCTGCTATTGCCAAAAAAGTAGTAAAAGTTTTCCAAGACTACATAAGGTGAGCACAAGTACAATGATTTCTCTGTAAAGGTTTTGATATCTTACTCAAAAATACCTTTAAAACTAAATATTATGACAAGCTTAGTGTTTGCTCTGAGCTTTATGACCTAAGATATACCAGTCTCAATGTTCAGCAGATCTTTGACGCTTACATCTTGTACTTATATCACTGGGTGGTTTTCCCTTGCTCTTGCTCAGCTCTTCAGAGATGGAGGTACAGGTACCAGCCAAACACAGCTTTATCTCACGTAATAAGATGTGTAAGTCCACAATAAAATGTGTCTGTTATTTGAGAGCTTCTTCCACTAATTGTAAAGAAATACTCAGAAAAAGGCTTTTTAAAAGAGTAATTTGGATAGCAAACGTCAGTTGCTTCCTTGGATGAAGAGAAGAATCAACAAGGAATAAAATGGAAGATGTAAATTTAAGCAACAGTATTTTTTGGGAGAAGGAGTGGTTTCTTTAAAAAGCAACTAAATCCTCAAAAATGGAAAGCTCAGAAGAACTATGAAGATGGAAAGTCTGAACTTGGTATGAATCACATAAGCCAATGAAGGCATTATAAAAAACTGGGTCATCCTCTGAGTGCGGTAAGAAGCTGCCTGTATCCTATCTGTAATTGTGGATAGGTTAAAATGGGCAAGAGAGTAGTGAGAAGCAGGGACAGATTATTTTGCATTAGGAGATACTATCTATTTATCAGTCTCTTTTCTTCTTCATTAAGATGTGGAAGTCATTCTTGACAAATCAATGTAGCCTCTGTTTGTACTTAATGTTTTTCATCACTTTGCATAGTGAGCTGGCTTTTGTTTCAATCAGCTATTGAATGTTATGCAAAAAAAATAGTTCTCTGTTAAGTAACTGAGCTTCTGAAAATTGCAGGTCAACTCCTTACTCAGTTTACAGCCCGGAAACCTATGAAGGTCACTGGAAACAGCTCACTGTCCGTACCAGCAGGAATGGCCACATCATGGCAATTGTTTATTTTAATCCTCAGGTATTTAACTTGATATATAATGTGCAGCCAGACAAATAGCTTTAAAATAACATAAATTTGATTTTATGAATAGTGCATATGAAAGAGAAATATTACTTGGTGAGTTTACCTTCTATTACTACTCTTCTGTTTAGATGAATCTGATACATGGAAGTGAACAAGTAATTAATATAGAATGTGTACACTAAATCAGATCTTTAAGTCACTAAGATAACTATTCTTTGTTCTTTCAAATGAAACCTTTAGAAATTAAGTAAGGAAGAGCTGGCTGACCTGAAAAACTCGCTGGCAAAGTACTTCACGGAAGGGATGGGAAAGACCAGTGGTGTTACTTCTCTCTACTTTGTGGAAGAAGGACAAAGGTGAGAGAGTTGACTTTGGTTTGGGGGGGGGGTTGTTTGCAACAGAAAAATAGGTGGCACTTCCACACCACTGTTTTGTCTATTTCAGGTAGCAGCAGTGTTACTTATTTGGTGAACAGTTGTTTATCTTTTCCACAAGAGACCCCTGAAATTTCCCATTCTCCTGTAGTGCTCAGGTGGACAAAGGCAGGCAAAATTTTCAGTGGGTAAACCCACTAGTTGCTGGCTGCCAAGCTGTAGAAGTATTTACTGCAGTAGATGGATATTTATTATTATCAGCAAGTAACTTCTGCTCCCTTTTGTCCTTATTTCATGTGATTGTTTGATTGCACCATCCTCTTCCACAGAGCATAAGGCTCACACTTCATCTAGAGACAGTGTAGGTTCTGCTGTTGACATCAGTGGAACAACTGTACACTGTCAGAAAAAAAAGTGGCCAAAAAGATCATCTCTAAAAGGATATGATAAATGTTGGCCCACTATAAATTACTGTTTAGCATGTAGTACTGCAGTTTTAAAGATGAATAGAGCTTTGGTAAAAATTCTGACAAATGTGTTTGTCTTCTCTTTTTTTCTCTTTCTTTCTTTTTCACCTCACCGGGCCTTCCTCCCACCAGGAAGTCTCCCAGTCTTGAAGACTTGCCTTTGGAGCATGTGGCTGGTGACAAGTACATATATGAAGAACTTCTTGGCCTAAAATTTAGAATTTCTCCTCATGCATTTTTTCAGGTAAGGATGATACAACTTGCTGATTTGACTGGGTTTGCATTAATGCCCTTAAGCTTGGCTAATGCTGGGTAACAGGATGTTATATAGCTAGAGATCTAATCTTTTAGATATTTGGTATGATTAAATACCTTTGAGTATTGTGTTTGGCTGTAAAAACAGTGAATGAGTGTAAACATGATGGGAGCATGTTGAAGACAACTTTTTGTTGCTTTTTAGTAGTTTAGTACCATTTGCCTCCTGTTGAATGGCAGCCTGTATGTACACAGGACATACAATAGGGAGTTCAGGAGTCTTTGTAGTACTAATTTTTGATTGGTGTTCCAAAACTTATTTCTACCCTTCTAACACTTCAAAGCCTCAGCAAGTGACCTGTATCATTGAAATGCAAAGTGCTGAAACAGGAAGGAAGCATGTAAATGCTTTGAAGCTAAACTACTTTCTATTATCTGCCATAGATTACAGATTATTTTCCGCACACACATAGTGTGCTTTGCTTGCTCTTCAGCACAAAGACGCTTGCTCTAGAGGCACTGGTTTAGAAAGCTTACTATACACTACTTCCTTAACCGTGATGTGTAACTATAGAATTTACTTCAAAGCAATATTACAACAAGATTAAAATTGTCTTAGTTAGATTCTAATGGTTTTGAATCTTTCCTTCTTCCTGTTCAAGGAGAGGAAGAATTTTTAAATTCAAGACCTCACGTTATTGCTTAGTATTTTGCTTAATTAATTTGCTTGCAGCCTCCTCTAGTTTCCAAACCTGCTTTTTAGGTACTACAGGACAAGTCATGTTTTCACTAGAACAGAGATAACAAAACATTACTTCTCAGAATTGAATGAGACTGTAACAATGGAATGGTGATGTCTCAGCATTTGCCAGTCTAGATCAGTTACATGGGATTGCAATTTACGTGTCAAGTTGACTTGTTTCTTAGGAACAAGAAAAATACATGTGCACATTTACTCTATGAAGAAGTAGATCTATTGAAGCATAATTTCACAGGTAAACACGCAAGCTGCAGAAGTGTTGTACACTGCCATTAGAGAATGGGCACAACTGAGCCAAGAGAGCACGGTGCTTGACATTTGCTGCGGTACAGGAACCATTGGGATTTCTTTGGCAAAGGTGGGTAATTTCTCTTCCTGGCTATAAGCTACTTCAGAGATCTACGTCTGTTAAATCGTGCTTAACTTGATGCATTTGATATGCAACACATTATATCTTTAATTTTCTGCAACTAGTTTCTAATTCAACTGCTGGCAGCTGTTTTACCAAATCATGATGTAATGTTCAGCCTTGTGTTCAGCTGCCTAAATGATTTTGAAACCAATAGATTCAGAGAGAATAATAGGTCTGTAGGATAGCCAAAGTTTACTAGAATCTATCTTCTTAACTGGTTTGGACTATCTCAGAAAACTTTGGATATGAATTACCAATGTCTACTTACCTCATTTTTAGAGTAGAGCTTGCTAGACCATATAATGGAGTCTGCTCCCCAAAAAGGCCAGCATAACTGGAGTCTTACCTGCAGGTTGGGATGACACAATTTCAGTTTTAAAAGTCCACATTTATTTGCATGGATATTTCTCAACCTTTTTTCTGGCTGCAAGGCAGTAATTTTCTGGCCAGGTACTAGTCACTGTTCGTGTAGTTAATTAACTGGTGATGCTCTGAATAGTGGTTCAATTTACATACCACAGACAGATCTTTTTCCGTTGATTCTATAGCAAGTAAAGAAAGTGATTGGAATTGAACTCTGCCAAGAAGCTGTACAGGACGCCAAAGTGAACGCCCAAATCAATGGTTAGTTAAGCTAAACCACTTAAGATCTCTGTTTGTTAAGAAGTATAGTAGTTGTATTGCTAGCTTCTCTTCGCCTTATCTGAGCAGCTTGGAATTACATGTTGTTGATAGTAATCTTGTCCATTTTAAACATTTATCTCTCTTGAAAACAAATACTGTGTTAGTCTGTGAGATCAATTTTCCTGATGACTAACAGCTGTTCTTTTTCTGCAAAAAGAAAATGAAGATTTTGGTGCAGAAATGAGCTGAAGCCACAGTTAGCCTCATGAAGAAAACATTAACAGTAGCTATTTTTCATGGGGTTTTGCTTTAGTCCAGATAATGGAGGATACTCAAGTTACTGTTGTTTAAGTGACCTGAAGCACCAGCACTTGTTTAAATTACACTGATGGGAGGGTTGACTAAACACTTTGTAGTTTGTAAAGCATCCCAAATTCATATCCACTTTGAGGATACTGAAGATGCTTTGGCAAGTACCCTGATAACATCTTTTCTTTGTCTTTTTATAGAACTGACTAATATTGAATTTCATTGTGGGAAGGCTGAAGATATTGTTCCTTCCCTGATTAACATATTAGCTCCTCAGAACCCCATTACCATTGTGGATCCGCCACGAGCAGGGCTGCGTAAGTTTATCTTCTCTTACATTTCTAAGTCTGTTCTCAATGGTGATTGGTGGTGAACTTCAGAAAACAGCAGTGGAATAAATCAAGCAGGAGGCTTCAGGGATAGCTTGAAGCATCTGGGTATTGCAGTGGTTTTGTTCAGGCTGGAGTCTCGCCTGGAATTCTTCTGTGAGTCTTGTGCACACAGAACTATTTGTAGGTAAACGGCTCTCTTGGTTTTGATCATGTAGATTCCAAGGTAATTCTTGCCATTAGAAGAGCTGAACACCTGAAAAAGCTTATCTACGTATCCTGCAATCCCAGAGCTGCAATGAATAACTTTGTGGAGTGAGTATTTCTTGTGTTAAATTGAGTAAGTAAATGTGGTAAGAAAAATACATGCTTCCTGGGGAGTGGGACGGTGTTGGACTTCTAGTTTGAAGCCACATTCACTGAAGCTTACCACCTTTCACCAGAAACAGTTAGAGCTGCCACACAGCAAGCCAGGACCGGTACTGCCCAGTCAGCAAGTAATAAGGGAGATATTAGGGGTGGTGAATAACCCCATCATGGCATTGCAGCTTGGGGAAGAAAAACTTTTCTTGGAGGAGTAGCAGTTACAAACAGTATACTAAAATGTTAATACAGTTCTTTGTTCCCTCTGTTCCCATCAAGCCTTTGCCGGGCCCCTTCCAACAGGGTCAGAGGAGCCTCCTTCCGCCCCATTAAAGCACTGGCTGTGGATCTCTTCCCTCAGACCAAGCACTGTGAGCTACTGATACTCTTCGAAAGGGCTGACTATGCAAATGGGAGCTCTGCTGAAGCAGCACCTGCTGCTGCTCAAGCCACATTGTCAGGACATGGCACCAACCCATCAAACGCTGATTCAAGCCAAGCAACTTGTGTACGTTTACATCCTGCTCTCGATGAGAAGGAATCCGCTTAACTCCTGAGAGAGACTTGACAGAAACTACTTTTGCTTGTTAACAACTTCAATACCATTGTTTCTGTAACATCCAGGTAATAAATCTGCACAACAGAGTAATTGCAAGGCTTCCAAGTTATTTTATCATATCGATCTCAGTTAAGTTTCATCATGTACTTTTAGGCCAAATCCTGCTTTTCTCTTTCTGCCCTCAGGAAGAAAATCAAGTGAGTGAAGTAACATCTGGTGGTCTTGCTCGTGAACCACTTGAAACAGCTTCAAATCCAGTATGCCATGACTACATTCAGATACAACTATTTGAAACCTGGGCTGATTCTTAATGCACCACCCCTACCAGTGCACGTATAATATACCACACTGTGTTAGTGAATAGCAGCTGTATATCAACAAGTAAAGGACTGAGCAGTAAGGAAGAGCTGCCAACCAAGGGAACACAGCACTGAATTCCTAAAGCAAGTGATATAGTCACAGGGACCTTTAAGCGCCAGTACTAACTCCTTTCATCCCTCAGTCTGTCACAATAGCACCAGGCCTATTGAGCAAGCCAGTAAATATGGAGCAATCTTAAATTTCCATAAATCCTGCACATGCTGAATCATCATGAGGAAGCAACAAACTCATATTGTAGTAAAAATGCTACGCTGTCCACAGCTGAAATCGGTGTCACTGACACTACAATAAAGGCTTTCCTAGATCATTTCCTAAGACATACAAGTGAAGCCGAGATCACCTCACTCCAAGCATGCCCTCACCAGTGACAGCTTACAGCCAGGTATCACTTAAGTAAAAATACAAATTTCCAATTAAGCTTTCATTTCAGGTGCTGTCTGACTATGTAAACATTAAATTCCTTAGCAAAAAAAATGAGCAAATCAGTACTTCCAGAATCAGTGAGCCTGTAATGGATTTAATTTCCATTAAAAAATATGTACAGGGATCAAGAAATAAAAGTTCCTTTTTCTAAATATGCTTAATCTATCACAATACTGATCACACTGGAGCATTTTATAATATCAAACTTTATTGCTCAAAACTAATTGTCTGAAAAATACACATGTAGTACTCAAAGACCAAACACAGAGGATTATATGATTGTGCAGAAAAAAAAGCAAGCAGAGGCTCAGTGACAATGAGGCTTTATAGTTGTACCAATTCAGCACGGGCATCAAGCAGCTGCACCCAGCACGACTCAGACCGCAACCATCATCACCTACTTGGGCAATAAGAATGAATTCCGGGTTGGTGGTTGTTTCATTTTCTCAGATACGCATCAGAACACTGTAACTGATGATTTTATTTGGTTAACAACAGAATGGCTTTTTGCACTTCACATTTCTTTCCAAGCAGAGCGAGGAGGTTATCGCTCCCTGAATTTTACTCCCGAACCAAAGTACAGTCTAGAGAGTTAATAAGATCTTCATGATGCTTTTTAAATACTTGGATATTACATGTAAGTTTTTTATAAAGCCTAACAGCATCACAGGAAAGTGGAAGGTTACATACAACAGTTAAGATTATGCATAATAGTCTTTCTAAACTTCTGAGTACCCAACTACTTCATCAGTTTTGTTTAATAAATATGGAAGAAAGAGCTGGATGCCTGATGTTTAAATAGGTAGCATCTGACTATTAACTGGAAGTCACAGTAAGTTTTCCATCAGTACCATGAAGATTTGAATGCACACTAATCCTTAAAGTCAATATACCACACTTTTGTCAAGAAGCACATAATATGCAAAGCACAAACTGTCCAAGTCCCAAAGAGATGGAACAGTTCTTAAAAATACACTCCATCCCTATAAAAATATCCATCCTCCTCTGGCTATAGAAGGGATAAATAACAAAGATCAGTGACAAAAGCAGCAGTTGTTTTATGCATTCGTACAGTCAAGATCTAAACCTTTACAGCCGATTACCTAGAAAACACACAAGTTACACGACAAGTTCAGGATACATCTTGAATCACACTGTAAGTGTTCATGCAGAAGCTGAAGTTAATGCAATGATCTATCCTCTATCACAGCAGCTCGTGCTTATGTGCAAATGCAAGACTGTTACACTCCAAACAATAGTAAACATTAAAACACAAGAATACTTCACAATGACATAAACAGCAGTTAAGTTGTTTGTTCCAGCAGTTATTGCGCGATTTTCTGGACATCTCTCCAGTTAAAGGCTGCAGCAAGGTCTAATACCATCTTTTTTTTGTTTGTTTTTGTTTAGAATGCATAATATATGTTCTAGGCTTTGGTTCACAATGAAATCTCTGGATGTTTTCATTAAGGGCAATGGTCACCTTGTGATTCTGATAGTGGCAGACTGAGGTAATACAGCAATCCTCTTAAAAATAATGAAAACAAATTTGTAAGCGAGGCATCTATGTATATTCTGCAGGTGACCTGCATATGTATTGACATTCTGGTACCAGAAAAATAAGGAGATCTACAAGGGTGATTTGTCTTTTACAGTGCCATCCAAGTACAGATTTTTCTGCTGAAAACACATAAGCCGAAGTAAAACCTACCTAAAAGAGTAGTATGGTTAGGCATAGGAGATAGAAGCCCTGTCTTTATTAAAAGAAAACAAAACCAGACAAACAGTAATCACTGCTTGTCACTACTGCACCAATATTATATACCCTTCAGAAGATGGAGATATATTAAAGCTATACAAAAAAAAGCAGAGGCAGTGTTTTTTTGCTTTTGTCTTTTTAGATAGGCCACTTCTTTAAATAATAGTTTATGTATAGTCTTCCAACTACCCGTATCCTGTCACAGCAGGATTACAACTTGTGAAACTGAAAAGCTAAATATAATATAAAATGGGTGAACTCCTATTTGCAGAGACCTCCAAGCACATCACTCAAACACAGAAATGGGTAAGACTCCAAGATTCCTCCTGTTTAGCTTCAAACATTCTATGCGGCATTATCTAATACTACAGCTATAAATTAAAATCTATGTATTTCCAAAACAACAGGTGACTATAAAAGGAGGTCTTACAATACTGATGCCAATATTGTTAAAATCCAGTAGGCACTAAGTTCATACTGCAGCACTCTATGTAACACGGTAAAAACAAAACCAATCAAAACCCCAAACAACCCCTTTCCCTTCAGCCCCCAGATCACTGTCCAGGTATGTACCAGGAGCTAAAGCAATTGTAACTAACTGAGCAATCCCTCTCCTAAGAGGAGGATGAAATGCAGCAGTACAACCCTTGGCCACCCCCAAAGCCCTACCACCACCTTGGTTTTCACTCTCTTCCTTAGGAACAAAGCAAAGAACCCGCAGAAATGGTTCCAAGAGAAGACTTACTGCAACCATTCCGTGAAGATCCTCGTAGGAAGAACGAAACCCACAGCCCAGTGCTTTCACTACAGCCTCAACAGTTCCTTCTGTGCTTCACTGAAAGCCTCAGATGACATCGTGAGTACTGCCTGGTTTCCAAGACTGTATGTAATAGTAGTTGCATATTTGTGATTTTCTTACTTATCAGTATAACCTGCCATGGTCTCATTCTACTCATTACTCTATATCATAAGCCAAATCTACATCCTAATTTTCATTGCTGAAGTTACACTTCTTCTTTAATAACTAAAAATGTAATTAAAAAAGTAAAACCAAACATTCTTAAAACCCCCTAACTTGCTGCAGTTACTTCAGGTTTCTTAGGGTTGTGGTTTTTTAATGCTTTGCTTTCATGGTGCTAATTAAGACTCAGTTGATCAAGTCTGATGGATTCTGACACCAAACAATTGAGAAGTTCTTTTATTGCTGGGAGAAGGAAGCGGAAGGTCTTTAAACACATCATTGGCAAAATGTTTTCAGACTGTCAACCACCATCAGCTGCGTTTTGGCTCCAAGCTTTGAAAACAGCCTTCTAAATTACAGTTCTTATCTTCATCAAATAAATAGGGCCATATTTTCCCCCCTTTCAACTGATCTGTAAACTAACACAGCTAAACCCCAGTAATTTTGGATATCCAGCCTGTTGCTTTTAACACTACCAGGTATACTTGTTCTGTTCAAGTAATAAAAAGTCTGCATACTGTGATCTCAGATAACTAAGCCTGGCAGGAGACAAAAAACAAACCAGAAAGAAACAGCGTTACTGGCCTAATCCTATGGCATTAGGAACATTGCTCATCACTGTCATGTATTTGTCACCAAAGTGTCTTATCAGTGCATATTATTATGTGCTGAAATGCAACAAAACTTTTCACAAAAATACTTTTAGGCATGTTCATACAAGAAGGTGTACATATATTTCTTTTATATATACATATATATGAATGTGTGTATATATATATAATATCAGCTTCAACCTGTACATAGATATTCTGAATTTCATCCTTAAAAAACACATCCACTTCAAACAGCATGGATGGCTTTGCAGGAAAAAGTGCTTGATTGATTTCATCCTGTGTGAACATGCCTGTCCTCTGTGCATTTGCCCAAGTAGAGATCTTTATGATCAATCCTTTAAACGTACGTGTATCAGAGGTATTAAAACAAGGAAAAAAAAAAGAAAATAAAACAGGAAGAAGTAATATTGCCCTGATGATGCAAAAAGAACAATGCATAACTGAAGCAGCTTGGATTTTAAAAGTTATCTTGCATTCTGCAGCAAACAATTTTTAAATAATTGTTGAAAATCTAGTTCCTCCATTTGTTATTGCTCCCCACTTGTAAGTTTTCTCATTAGACATCAACAGTACAGAGAGGTTCGCTAGCAGGCTGAGCAGACTCCACTATTGTCATCTTGGGTTTCTTTCGGGTTTCCTCCTAAAAGAAGGTGAAACAAACCCCACCATAGTCATAAAGAGAATACAATCATAAACTGTTCTAAAAGCGTGAGTAATTTTAGCCAAACTTGTCCCAGTGGTTGCAAAATGTTAACTTGTTCTAATGTTAAACATAAATACAATGAAGTAGGTAAAATGAAGTTATAAGACAGTTTAAAAGACAGGATGAAAAATCTCTAAAAGTAGCCCTCCTGCCCTCCCCCCGAAGTTCTGAACAGCTCTATGTACATACAGGCTAAACCAAGCACAAATTCTGGTTATCGGCAAGTCTGACCCGTTGCCTTCTTCAATAAATAGAAAATTAAATGTAAGTAGTTCTTCAAGAGCACACAGAAAAGCAAATACTCACTCTTTCTTGGGCCAGTTTTTTCATTTCTTCCTGCAACTTGTTCAGGATGTGCAGATTTGGCTTGTTCTTTTTGGCATACTGCTGAAGCTCTATCACACTTTTATCAGAGGTTTCCTATTCAACAGAACCCAAAGTAGGAACAGGTGAGCTTTTGTGATGAAAAAAATAAAATAGGTGGAGCAGAAATTTAATCTGTGATAGCTGTGCTTCCTGAAGTAATAACAGGTATTTCCATGAGTTAGTTAAATATAAAGTAGGTTATAGAATTCTGACATGGAAGATTCAGGATTAACACAGTTACTGTTGTTGATGAAAACACTTATTTTCTGGCAGTAGCAAGGCATGGGAATCAATTCAGAAGGACTGAGACCTGCTCAGATGCATACAGTGCCTTTACCTTGACAGGGAGCAACACTATTATGCCAAAACAGGCACTATTTAAGCTTTATGGTAACTAAATTTAAAACTGAAAAGTCCAAAAGCAAACCCACAAACTCAAGACAGGTTACAACCAAACAAAATTATGTTCACCTGTTTAACCATCTTGCTGTTCTCTCTCCCATACATACGCAAAAGAGAGCCCCAATTCTTCACATGTGGATGCAGTAGCTGTAGGATTTTCTGAGAAGCTAGTTGTTTTCCCACTCTCTTGTTCTTGCCTGTAAAAATAATAATGAACATATGTCAACACCAGCACATAATCAGGTGCACACCAATATTTACCTGTGTTACTCCAAACTGAGATACCAGAGAAGAGTAAAATAAGCATGTAACAAGCCAGACAGCTGAAAAAGTACCTACAAAATGCACAACAGATGAGAGCAGGAAAAAAGGAAGACATTATCAGAGGTCACACTAAGTAGCGTACTTACACCAGCCTCGCACTGTGTGCTTGCCACAAGTCATGACGTATTCACTCTTCTGATTTTTACCAGGAATCACTTCAAACTTTATGGTTGTGTCACCCATTCCGTGGTTTCTTAAGCACAAACAAAATCAGTATCATATACTATGTAAAACTAAACCCAACTGAAGTGGTTGCAGTTGTCTTTGACAGTCATTGCAACAGAATTAGTTACATTAATAATAAATCTGTAGATGTTAATTAATAGAGTTCAGGTTTAGATCGGTAACTTAACTTGAATGGAAAGGCAAGTCTGTATAAACAAACCCAACCCCACATATACTTCTGTGCCCCACAACTAAATCCTAATCTCAGAAGACGAGAGGCATAAACAGCAAATGCAAATTAAAGGAAGATACAACATTAACAAGCTCTGCCCACACCATAATCCCTTACAGCCAGTGTGAGGGCAGAGAGCTTGGCCAGCCCACAGACATCCCACCCACAACCCAGCAAACAATATGTGCCCTGACCCAAACACCTGTACACAGCAGCATTTGCTCTTTACTTCGCAGCCTTACCTTTTAAGGCACTCATGGAGAATCTGATATGGAGACAACAGTCCAGCTTTACTGGTGAGTTCATATACCCGTGAGTCCTCAATACTGATATGGTTAAAATACTACAAAGGAATTGAAAAGGGTTATTGCTCTTTTGCACAAATGACCTTAGTACTGCTCTTAACCATTACTTCTCCTTTTCAACACTGAACAAATCCTGTTACTCTCTACTTAATACTTGAAGAAGTATTTCTAAATCCATAATGAAGCTATTTACCAACAACATTAAACCTGACACATTTAAAATATATTTGCAGGCAGAAATTTAAATAATTCCAATTTTACATTCTACAAGATGGACATAAAACTGACAGTCTTAGAAAGCCTTCATCATTTTTCCTTCCTGTCCTGGTTTAAACCAGGACATACACTGAGGACGTTTTATTTATTTTAGCTAGTTATGAAATTCTACTTACCAAAATGCTGTGGTTTATAATAAAAGAAAACATAAAATACAGAAGGTTCCAATGGGTGTTCTTTTAAAGCCGTGGGAAAAATTGTCTGTTTTCTTAATGACCATTTCAGTAGTCCAGGATATACAATACAGCTTTAAAAAAAAGCACTGTCATTGCCATAGATTTTGCTATAAATGAAGAATTTCACATTTCCATCTGACTGTGAAAACAATGTTATGAATTTTCACTATTATTTCTAACATTGAAGGTGTAATGTTTTAAAAACCAACTCCGGCAATGACAGCCAGCAAGCCAGAGTTCAGTACCTCAAGTTCTTCACTGTCTTTGGGCTTCTCCTCAGAGGTCTGTTTAACAAAGTCAGGAATAAGGATTTCCAGTGTAGCTCGAGCTGCAGAAGGTGATTGAACATCTTGATTACATTTATTTTAAACCATGATTGGAAAGAGCAACAGCAGAATGAAGCACTCTGCAAGCAATCCTCACATCTCTCCTAAAAATATCCACTGGTGTTAGAAAACAACTTTAACAGATAAGACTGGCATCTTTTTGTAAGGAGTATATTCACCTGCACTTTATAAGGGAAAAAAAAATAAACCTGCTCTTTCAAGTTGATAATAAAAGTCTCACAACTAATTAAACCAAGAAACTTTTCTGCAAGTGCCTATGAAAGGAAAAAAATTATAATCAAATCTCATTTCAAAAGTGATGTAGAGCCCTAGGACCTAAAATTAGAGAGTTGTTATCATCTATTACCTGTTACAGGCAAATCCTAGCACTGTATCACCAGGGCACTCAGAATCCTGGCATTGTACAAAAAACACACCCAGAATTTGCCTAAATTTTCACAGCAAAATACCTTTTTCTCGTGCACAAACAATTCTGGCCTGGCTTTGGGTGATTCAGCTACACTGACATTTCATAAGTGCAGAAAGTACCACAGATGTATTATACATCTTTACATTCTGATAAGTTATTTTCTCTTGGTCCTAAAAGACACATTTAAATCTGGAGATCAGTAAGAACTTCTAAAGTGTCAAGACACATTCTCGCCTAGATCCTTATTACTTACATATTTATTACAGATTTACACAATTACAACCAATTAATGAAAGGAAGCACTTGGAAATCAATAATTACATAATTCAATGCAGTTGTTTTATTATCAGAAAGAGAACCACAACATCCAAAAGCTTCATGTATTTTTTTTGTTTGTTTTTAAAGGACAAAGATTTACATTTTGCTTAAATCCATACACTGGGTGTTCATATTGCAGGTGACAGTACACATATAGAACTCCCAACATGTTCTTACTGGTTTCATCATTAAGAGACAGATGCTCTTACAGCTACTTAGCACACATCAACAGTTTACAAGTAACATCTCAACTTTCTTCATCATTTTTTATCCTAGTAAACTGTTGAACCCAGGGCTGTCAGAAAAGTTCCTGCTACAGTTATTTATCCCTTCTACCAGAAGAGACCTTCTGTGACTATGACTCCTACTCACTATTGCAAATGTGTCATCTGCAAAGCAGAAATGAAAACAGGTAAACAATTCAGCAGTTGATAGTAAGACAGGAAAAACGTTACCAGCTTTATTCTTGGCAAGTTTTTTGCTGCTGGCAGTTCCTGCCCCATAAGTAACTCCATCAATAATCACTGAGGCTCCAAAAGGTTCACTTGGGTTCTCTGGAAATGGAGGAGGAAAGAAAAATAAAGCTTTTCAGAACTCCCAATGTAAAACACTCCTCATGAATGTGAAATATCATCTCTATCAAGATTAGTTTTCCCTCTTCATTTCAGCTTCAAGAGCAATGGAAAATTTTACTCTTCAGAAAGACAAAAGAATTGCTTACTCCAGTATATGAAAAACAGAGTTTTCCATTAACAGAGACTTGCTACCATGAATTCATTCTTCCAAGTGAAGCACTTTAACATTTTACGAGATCATCTGTAATCTGCCAGAGGTCAAATGTTAATTCCAAAGTGTTTTGCATCACAGTGTAAATAAAACAGCTACACATTCTGGTATTGAAAATTCAGTTACATTACGTAATGCACAGCAATGGGAATAACATAATTCTGAATAATTACTGAATAATACAAATAATTATCTGGAATAGATTCCACACTGAACTAAGATGCCCAACTTGTAGTTCCTTGGATCATCACTACAGGACTTTATCCTTTCAAGCCTATTGCTGAAAAAGGTGTAATTTTTAGCTTTGCTGTATCACCCCCAAAACTCATCAAAAGACAAAATACAAGGAGCATGTTCTATACCACTTTGCAAAGCAATCTCAGATGCAGCTAGGTAAGGCAATCTGCCTGGAATTTACAGAAAGAAAATCCAATATTAATCTCATTCCAGTTATATATGCCACATGTATTTACATTCTTTATTAAGCATCAAGTGCATTCCCCCACAGTACTTATCTAAACTTAAATTCTCCTTCAGTTTTTGTCTTCCTCAGCACTGATATCACTTACATGGTCTCAGCAGAGCCTGAGTCAGGAACTACCAAACCTCTCACACCACCAGCACAGAGCAAAATTAAAGTTGCTTAAAACCTACAAACACACATTCCCCCCAGCATCTCACATGGATCGTTTTCACTAAGGCATAAATTTCCCAAGCAAAACCCCATGTTGTTATTTTAAATGTAAGACTGCTCTTATCCTTAAGTCACATAGAAGATACAGAAGATGCTTCTCAGCTGGAGTCTGACTCACGACAGACTTTCAAGACATTCCCTAGACTGTTAGGTTTGCTTGTTCGTTGGTTTGTTTGTGCAAGATACCCAGGCATGAGTTAAGCCCTTCCAAACAGCACATGGTCCATTACAAAACTTGAAAGACTTACCACATTCAAAGAAATTGTAAACAGGGCGAACCTTTAGGACTCGTTGCATATATTCATGCAGTATGCAAACTTCAGATTTCCCATTGGGATTAATGACAAATTCTACAAAAAAGAAAACAGGGAAGGAAAAAGAGCTCAGTAGTTCCAGTCTTTAAAAGATAATTTCTATTACAAGTAATTAAGTAAATAAATCAAAGCTCCAGGGATAAGTGCCACTCCTCATGCCACAGGATGCAATTGCACATGCAGTTCTTTAACTGTATCCATCAGACTGCTTTAAATTTCTGTTTTTAATTGCAGGATGGAATCTGGACCGGTCTGGCATTTTAACCACTCTGTAATGTGGGACCAGTTAAAGCAGGTACAGAACCAAGAAGACAGCAGCACTGAGTGACTAGACAGGAGGATTTTCAGTAACAGCCAACAGTTACAAGTAGCTGAAGGTAGTAACCAGTTACCAGGACAGCAACCTTAAATACAAATCCTTTCATTTAGAAATTATTCTTTTTATTAGTAAGTATGTTTTGACAGTATTCTTCCTTTCACTATGCAGTCATTTAAGCACACAGAATTCTAGAATAAGAAAGTGGACTAATTACAGGATTTTTCTTTTCAGTCAAGCTTAGAACTGCAATTAGTCTTTGCTATAGATTATTTGAAGTACAGGTAAACAAACTAACCTTTCTTTGTAGGTGCATCTTGCACAGACAAGGTAATGAGTTTCTGGTTGGCAGGCAGAATGGGCCGCTCGGATTCTGCCTGTTTCCGCTTCATCTCGCGGTTGAATTGCCGTCTCTCAGCCCAGGTTCTGAACTTTTTTACAGTAACTTGTTCAAAGTCAAAACGCTTTTCAAGATAGCGTCTAAAATCTTCCAGATCTAAGAGACACAAGCAAGTTACTCTCTACTTTACCACTTAGCAAGCATTAAGTTCACTACTTCCACTGTTTTAAACATGTTATCATTACTTTTTTAGACTAGGAGCAAAAGTAACGTACTCAAGGTTAAGAGGCTATCTTATACTAACAGAACTAATTACAAGTTCTCCTGTTACTGGCTCAAGTGCAAAACATTTGTGCAAACTAGAAAATGGGGAGGGGGAGCATTTTATTCTGTCACTTGAAGATTTTACTAAGCCGTAACTAGTGTAATACTCAGCACAATCTGAATGAAACACCAGTAATTGCTTTATTTCATCACCTATTCACTTCAGTACCTGAAGCAAGGTGTACAGTGAGCAGTAACAGTAGTAACGCTATTAGACTCAGTTTCCTGAAGCCTGACCTGACTACAGCTGCCTACAGCTGTAACACTACATAATGACATTCCATGAGTAACCTCTGGCCTCTAAACAGGATTTAACACATTCATCTTCACATACAGAGTACTAAGACACTGTCGTCGTCCCCCCTGAAGTACAGCTGCTTCTCCTTTATAGGATATCTTTGCAGATGTAATCAACAAAAGTAAAGAGCAGCATCCCAAGATGTAAGCAAACAAAAGCAAGCTGCTGGTATTGTTTCCTTCCACAAGGCACTCCACATGCAAGTCACACTTATACTTGAGCACTCAGTATTTTGTTCTCAGTAACACAGAACTGATCCTATTTAGAGAGAGAGACAGACAGATGAACTTCATGTAGAAAATAATTGAGTTTTGCTGCTAAACACTGATTTTTTTCTTTTTTAACGTTTTGGCATGTTTCAGACTGAACGAGGACAGACATACCAAGTCACAAGTGTTATGTCTGAACACTACAAAGGTAAGTGGCAGACTACAATCATCAATACTCTGAGCAGCAGTACGTTACTTGGATGGCACTCTCAGATATGTAGTAGCTTGTGGTAAGTGGCACATGAGCTTTCTCTCCAGGTTCCTCTGTAAGTTTGGCTGGGATTTCAGCATGACTTCTTTAGGCAGCTTTTTGTGTAAAAGCTATCAGACTTGCATAAATGCAATAATGAAGCAAGACACCCCTTTGCATGAGTGCAGTTATATTTACATAACTTACTCTGCCAGATTTAAACCAAATTTGCTTATTTGCACAACTGTACTATTTACCTTAAGAGATCATACTGAGAACAGATACAATTCAGCCAGTATAGAGACTGCATAGATCAGCCTAAATAAAGAAGTCAAACACTCCTGACAACATCAATTCATATGTACACATTGATTTAACTAGTTCTTAAACTGAGATAAAGTCTACAGGACTAAACTTCTTAAATATTCACATTTTTGTGTGCAAACTTTTTGCATGTGGACTGTCAGCAAAAGCCTCCCCTGTTTTTATTGCTGTTAAAATCAAACTTTGTTTCTAATACTGCATCTATTTTTCGAGATCTCTGCATACAAAAAAACATGCAGAAAGACAACTGACCACTTGATCTCAGGCAAGGTATTATTCAGTTATCAAGTCTGGAAAAAAGCATATGCATCCTAAATGCCATTAACTCAGCTCCAGCCGAGAAAAGACTCTACTTTCCATACATACCTACAGATTCATCTTTACATACTTCAACTTTGGCCTTAACTTGTCCTAAGGCTCCTTGTGCTGCATCTCCCCCTGTAGGGTCTTTCTCATCTAAAGGCCCAGAGTCAGCAGCAGTGGAATCTGGTTCTTCTGTTTGGCAGTCCAGTTCTGAAGATTTATCTAGGTGCTTTACAGGTGATACTTCCCCATTTGGGGTTATGTCATTGTTTTGTTCCCTTTCCTCATTTTCCTTCATTTTTTTGTAATGAAAGCAGGGAATGCTAGTAAGAGGAGGATCATGTTTCTGCAAATATAAAATAACAGGGGGTTTCAGTACCTCAAGGTCACCAAAAGCAACACTCAAAACCAAAAGATATTATCAAGATGGAAGTTAATTTACTCTATGCCCAAGCTTCTCTTTGGTCAGCAACCTTATTCTACTCAAGGTCTGAGTGCATCCATTCCTATGCTATCTTGGCACTGTATAACTCTGATACTAACCTTCACAGTATATTTGTTGTTTCAGATCCAAACTATATTCTGTTCAATCACTTGCAATTCACAGAATCATAGAATAATTCGGGTTGGAAAGGACCTTAAGATCATCTAGTTCCAACCCCCCTGCCATGGGCAGGGACACCTCACTCTAAATACTACATGCTTTCACAAAATCCATGGAGCTAAATCCCATTTGTGGAAATTCCTTGGGTTCAATGTCACATGCTTACTTCCAGAATGTGGGCCATAAGCCACAACTCAGGCTAGTTTATAGCTACAAATAAATGATCTATTTTGTGGTGGAATAAAGCCCACATTTTGCAGCCATACACTAGAACGACAAAGGCACCAAACAAAATTATTTTATTCATTTTAACTGCCCAAACTCACTGCAAAAACTGAAAAACACTAAAAAAAATCATATGAAATTATCAGAAACAGAGGAGTTTATTTTTTGAAATACTTCAATTCTAACACTGGAAAGAAGCCTGCTAAAGTAGAAAAACAGTCATCTGTTTGCAGGAACACGCCTCATCCTTAGATCTCAGTAAGTAAGTAATTGACAGCTCTCACCCTTATGCTTCCTGTTCCCAAGAAATAAGGTCTAGACCAGGTAACAACTCTAGATTCCCTGTGCAGATATACAGGAATGCCTGAGTTATGGAATGTCATGATCCATCCATCTGGCAAAGGTTCTGTAGGAGGGCGGCCACGACCTTTAAAGCAAAGAACAGCTTTAAACTGGGACAGACTGCTCAGACAAACAGAAAAAGAAGCAGTTTTTATTTTATTGCTTTTGCTGTCTCAAAGGATAAAATGACACTGAAACAAGACTAAAACAGGCTTTAGTTTGCTTTAATAAAAAGGCACATGCTTCTAAACCACATTAAATCCTGTGAAATCACAGATTCCATTATGTTTACAACAAAAAAGCAATGGTAGCACTGATTTCTATACAGACTGATTTGTTCATTTCACCAGTGAATTTTCTCTTCTCTTTAGTCTTCTTTATGTATTTATATCATCACAAACGTCACTGTATTTAATGGAAAAGTCATACTTGCTTTTGAAACAACTGAATTTTCCATTAAGATTTTCTGTACTTGACACTCAAGGATGAATTTGCATTGAGACACCACCAGACCCAAACAGCCAGCAACAAGTTAGGCTGTAAGCTTGGGCTTTCCTATGATATTTTTCAGCTTAAGCACAATACGAACAAGGATCGAGTTCCCAAGTACCACAAATAATCTTCAGCTGTTTTCACAGCACTGAAGTCAAAACCATCCCAGATCATCCTTGTTCACCTCCCCACCAGAGGTAACATTCTTCATAGTTTCTCACAAATCCAGACACTAAAATACATTCTCATTACATACAGCACATGGAGACCAAAACCCTCTCCAGAACCAACTTCACTGCTCAGGAATGTGAAGAATCTTATCCTATAGTAAGAAGCCTTCAAACTATGAAGTTCTGTAACAATTAACAATTTCACAAGAACTGCTATCCTACACTTTGCTTGCTAAGATACTTTTGTTCTACAGATAAGCCACGCAAGAAAGAATAATATATTTTAATGAACATTAACTTACTTTTAAGTACAGTTTTAATTTTGGTCATCATTGGCTGCACACTCGTTTCTCCATCAGACTGGTGATCACTTTCACCAGCATATTTCTCATTTTCTAGTCTCCTTGTTTTGGGTGCTCGAAGACCTTCTTCCAGCAGAGCATCCACATCATTATCAAAGTCATCCTGCAAGAGACTTCATCAGACACTATCCTTATGGGTCTACAGCCTCCCTTTCCCCTTGCAAAGAGAGAATATATTTTCACTATGTACTTCCATAGAGAGAGAGAAACTAGAATTTTCCAATGATTCCAGTAAAAAAGACTGAAAAATAAGAAAATAAGATTTTGTAAGTGAGAACTGGTATTTTTCATGACATAAAGAGCTGCAATTGTCTAAGAAGTGTTTTGAAAGCTATTTTTAAGCAAGACTATAGAAGCTGCCACACAACACGGAAGTTGATCAAGACAATTTACAAAGGTTTTTAGCCAAAGTTCCATCCCTGAAAATTCCACATTTTTGACCCAAGCACTGCACGTTTCACAGAAAAGACTGTTTAAGTGGACATCTTTGCATATTTTTTCCCAAGCCACTTGGAAGCCTCTTACCCACCAAAACCCTTTGTCTTTACTTACCTCATACGAGTAATTCAAGGTTTCTTCATCCACTTTATCCCTTTGAACGATTGCTTTAGATGTGAACCCTCCTCCTTCTTCATCTATTTCCATCAAATTGTCGGTAAAATCTTCTAGCTCATCCAGAACTGCATATTCTACTCTCTTTTCCTGATCAATATCATTTTCATCATCTTTCTTGTCATCATTTTCACCCCCTGTCCCTATAGCTTTACCATTACTACCACCGAAAGGACAAACATGCAAATCCCCATTGAGATTATTAATACCAAAATCTGTATCTGCCTTATAATCCTGCTCAATTCCAGTGTACAGAACCTTCCTATCTTTGCTTTTGCAGCTTTCTGTAAAGCTAACGCTAATTTTGACATCTTTAAGTAACTTAAGATCTGGGGTGAACTTTCGAACTGACGGTGCATGACGAGCAGTTCTTGGGCTTTGGTCACTATTGTTAGGGTCTACTATAAGACGACTTTTGTAGCAGGCAGATCCCTTTGTGAGAAGTTGTGTTCTGCAGATACTGTGCGTGTCCCCAGCAGGGGTATCTGACTGTCCATCACCACCAGAGCCAACGTCCATTACCTCTGCGTCACTGGACGTTTGCAGGGGAGGTGGTGGAGGCTGTTCGTTAGGCGGCAGAGGTGGGGGACAAGTGTGATTCTCCACATTCATTTCTCTTGCAGGTTCTTTAGGGAGGGGAGGTACATTTTCATATTTCTCCATTTTTAAAACTACTGTTTTTAAAAAACACAACGCTTTAATAAATGTTTATATCTATATTCCTAACATGCATAAGTCCATCAAGATTGGTTTATCATGCTCTAGTCAATATGCAACACTGATGATTCAGTTAAGCTGACTACATTGTTCTTTTCATTAATGTAGACAGCTTTCAGAATCACTGTCTCAATTATTGGAAATCACAATGCATTCAGCTTAAATAGCTGAAGACTAAGACTGCATCTTCATTGGACAAGCAGCTCTCCCTTTCCTCTTTCAACCTACAAGAAGAAAAAAAGAAAAAAGAAGTCTTCGTCACAGAAAAAAAAATAAAGAAATGGAAACACTGCCCCACCAAAAAGCAAAACTGTCCCTGCCTTGGGTGGAAATCACAAGCAGAACTAAAAGTGACTTCTTTACAGTGAAAAAAACAGGGTATCTGCTTTCTGAATGAGGCTGAAATGAGACTGTTTGCACTGCTTGATCTGTGCACCACCACACAAATTTGCTAACATAGTTATCTGTATAATTTGTTGACTATCTCTGCTTGGTTACAGGCAGGGCATTAAGCATGGCTTTTGTAGACAGCAGATTAAAAACTGTGTTTTGGGGGGATTCTCCTACTATTTGGCATAACCTGGTATGGAGCCATACTTACCCATGCAGCAGAAAGGGTAATTTACAGTTTAAGACAATCTGCAAAACCAACAAGACTGTAACAAGTATGGTCTCATAAGACACGTGGCATTCTGGGACTTTAAGTTATTTGATACTTTTGAAATCTCATTGGAAGTTTTAACAGGAAATTTCACAATTTACTAAAAACTCACAGAAAATTACTCCCTAGATAACCAGGTAGTAGACATCTGAACTTCATTCCATACTACTGTGGGACTATATAATATTTGGGCCCAGACACATAGTGTTAAAGCTCAATTCATTCTGGAAGGCACTTAGAAACCACTGTTTTAGGTAACTTAACCAGTAAAAAAGTATATTTGCTGTAAGAAATTTCACAGGGGGCAGGGGTGTATATTTTGGGTTTGTTTGGGGTTGTTTACACTAAACGGGTTCTTTCTGCCATTTCTATAATGGCTTCTTCAATTATACTTTTGCCATCTGAGCAGCACTACAAACACGTGGGGAAAGGAAGCAGAATTTCTTACCTGTTATTTTGGTTTCTCCAAGTCCCACCATGCCCACCCCAAACTGGGCTTAAATATTCCTACCAGCTACAAATAAAGCAGTGTTCCTCTGCCCAAGGCAGCCAGCTGGCTGAATCTGCTGGCTGCCTTGGACTCAAAGGATTTCCAGGTAGTAGAGAAGGTCTACCCAAGGACTCCAGAAAGACAAGCTGCAAGCCCTTAGCGTTGCTGTGTGACGTTTGATGGCAACAGGGCTGAACGTCTGGCTTGTCATGAGGGACTTACAGAAGCCAAATATAATTCTCTAATGGATCTCTATGCCAGCCCAGACAGAACAAACCAACAGCAACAACCAAACACCAACTGGGGCAAGGCAGGGAGCTGGGAATCAAGAGTTAGAATGGTTAAAAACCCATACATAGCAGCACACAGAAGCTACCTACCTGGAAGCTGGAGGGAAGCAAAATACACAACAGAGCAAACCCTCATTTTAGTGATTTGGAAAGAAAGTAAGTTTTGCTGGTGCAGCAGAACAGTTCTTATTTTGTGGAGGGTTTGTTTTTAATAAACTCAAAACTGTGCAATACTGGGGCATTACAAAGGAAAAGCCTCCATTTTGATAAAAGCTCTAAAATAATCCCATCTTCTTTGCTACGAACATACTACTTTCTTGAATTAAAAAGAGCGCATTCACCAGTAAGACAAGCAGTTCTATGCATTTAAAACCATTCCATCCTGCAAGATGTTCATACACTCACCCAAGCAGTAATCAATTCCCGCTTTCAACAAGTTCTGAAACACCTTATGTTATACAGAACACTTCTAGAAACTCATTTGTATAATAACCTTCCCCTTCCTCATCTTCAGATTAAAAAGATAAATTATTGAGTTCTTCACAATAAATCATGAGTGTATTCATTGTTAGTTCTGAACAAAATAATCAAAAGTCACAGTACAAGTTCAGTAACTCCTGGAAAGTAAATGAAGTAATCTAAGTTTTCCACCTCAGAGTCTTCTAAAGACTCCCCAAAAGAGCAAACACAAGTAATTCACATAGAAATTACATACTGAAACTGGTATTCTAGAATTTGAAAGGGCACCACCTTCCCATATGACCAAGGGGCTGCCTGGTCCTACTAGAAAACCTGGTTTTGACAAGTCTTAAGACATGACTGTGAATGCAGTTTCCACAATCCTGATACACATCCCGCTCCTACGCTAAAGAGTGTTTTAATACCATCCATGTCAAAACACAAGAAATTAATCGTTACCTGCCTAGCTCTGGTACTCCGCTGATAAGACACCTCCGCTCTTTGTGGAAGAGACATCTCATTATTCTATTCAAGCACTATTAACAATTAAATTCTTGTTGTCTTCCTTTGCTTGTTGGCCTTGAAAATAATGAATAGCATTCCAAATCACTGCCAGGGATTGTCTACTACTCAGTACACACACTGTAGCCAGAAAAAGTACCAGACCACGACGAGTTCCAGCTAGCTTTTGCATTTCTCACCACAAACCTGCCACATCCCCAGGGTACGATAACAGAGGCCAGCAGCTCTACAGTTACCGTGGGCTACAATACCTCCCTGTGAACTACAAAAAGGCAGGGAGAAGCAGAGTAACACAGGTCCAATTCCCATGTACTTTTTTGCCAACTGATGTTACAATACACCTTTTACATCAGGGCTGGAAAAAACACAAATGACCAAACCAACGAAGACAATAAGGATTTACCCTTAGATATCAGGTATTTTAAAAGTCAGACGGGATAAATCCTAAAAGGACGAGTTAGATGAGCCAAAGAGCCAAAGTGGAATTACATCAAGGGAACACAACCACCACATGTCAAACCAGGCTTTGCATACTAGGTCACGTAATATTAGCATACAATGTAAGTCAGTCTGCCTGCTGTCAGCCTCAATTAGCTTGCACTGAAAGAACAGACTTTATTCTCCAAGGCTCCAAGTTCCATTGAGAGTTTCCATAAGGACTCCTTAAAGACATGTGGAGCATCCCTGACAGCTGCAAGAGCCAATACAAGACACTGACAACATGAACGCACAGCTCATGCTCTGCTGATCACCAGGACATGGAAATTTCACATTTTTAGTTGCCTGCTCTTATTTTAGCAGATTATTTGGAAAAGTCCCATGTCACAAAGTAAACGCCGAGAAACAGATAAATGGTAAACATCTAGATGTTACACAGCAAACCACACAGGTCAAACTACACAGAAGCAGTGTCTTGGCTTGGTTATCTTCGAGATTATATTTTTAGGGCAGAAACAAAAAAACCACTCTTTGTTAGTAAGTACCACTGCTTACTCCCACAATCAGAACATGGAGGGGGGAAGTACAGAGATAAGGGTACCTCTTTCCGAGACAGGAAAAGACTAGACTCTCAGAATTTGTAACCAGCGCTGGCCCACCTCAAAGAGGAACTCCCTTCGCTGTTACAGCATACTGGCAGTCTTACAAGGGAGTTCAAGAAAGAACATATTTTCTTCGTGCATACCTGTAGCTGCAGTCAGGAACACTGAACGGCAGACCTCAGATCCCCTCTCCCCAAAAATCACTTTTAAAAAGAAACTGGATTCCTTGTCAGAAACTGCTTATTGCAGTCAGTGGATCCCCAAAGAAACAGTGGCTCAGAGCAAACTCTCTTTATTCACTATCCAAATACAAAGGTCACCTCCTCATCCTCTGGCTCCAAAGAGCACTTCTGCAGAGGCACTGATCACACTTGAAGATCCACTCCACAATTATCTACCTTCTTCTTATCATACCTATACCTATTTTATCTTCCTGATGCATAGTCCCCAAACCAAATTAATCCTATTATCAACTGCTGAAAAAAGGAGGGCTGAATTTATTTTCTTTAAACCAAACAAGAAGCTTCAGATAAAAACCGTTCTGTAAGTTAGCTACTACGTACCAGAACTCCTTTCTCTCCCTATTATAAGTTCCAGAATAGAAAGATTCTGAAGGAAAGCCACTTTGTGTAAGTCATCAAGACAGTTTCAGAAAATGCAGTTTGGGCCCAACCATAATATTATCAGTGGCAAACTCAGACAAGAATGAAAACATCTCTAGTTCCTAAGACCTCATTCCATTTCAGAACAGACAGAATAACTCATTTTGGAGAGGCACCCTCAGAAATGGAAAAGCAGTTGCTGCGTTTATAGCTTGGCCAGCTTTCTGGCAGGGTGTAGGGGGTTTCAATTAGTTGTGTAAAACAAGAAACGTTTTAAAGAAGTCTGCAAATCAGAGCCTAGGAAGGAGAAAAACACATTCTTCTTTTCACATCACAAATAGCTTCTTACTTGTGAAAAGAAACAGGCACAATGAACCCAATTCTCCTCTCATCCTCTCAAAAAGCAGAATAATCCTGAGAGTCAAAAGGAACTGCCCAAAAGAACCAGTGACCTAACTCCTTACCCAGAATTCAAAATCAGAACCCTTAAGCTTAGTTACCTACAGAGACAGCAAAAGAGGGTCACTCACAAATGGAAAACTAAAGATCCAATTCCAACACCCTGAATGCACAACCTAAAGGAATAAAGACACTGAATGGGTTCACACAGCAAACTCTCAAACCCAGTTTATGAGGGAGTGATGCCTGGATGTTATAGGGCCCACCTAAGCGAGCAAATGGACTTTATAGATAACCTGAAGCCTAAGGAAAAGGGGTGCAAAAGAGAGAACTCTATTTTTCCAGTCAAAAAAAAAGATACAGAAAATTAGAAGAATAAACCTTTTAGAGACTGAACGAGTTAATTTAGACAAACGCGTAACTCTGTGTCATTAGTAACTGAAAGAACACAAAAGAATCCTGAGGGTTACAGACGCACCACGTTATCTTTGCTGTCCCAACGTACCAGGCCTAACAGAAGCGAAGGGGAGGGCACACACGCGTAGGTGAAGGGCTGCTTTTTCTTCCTAACTTCACACAGCAGATAAGTCACGCTCTGCTCCCCCGTACAAACGGATGTGCCCAGCGGAAATCCTCCCTCTCGCCCTCCCTTCACCACACACACACACACGTACCGCGAGGCACACCGCGCTCCAGAAACTCCCCAGGGCCGGTACTCCCCATCACCCCAACAAGGTGCGGGGAGGAGAGGAAGACATGGCGTTCCCTCCCCTTCTGCCACCCCGAACACAACTGCAGGGTGAGAGCGAGTGGGGATGCGGCTGTAGCCGGGACAATTCCGCCCCTACCAACCTCTCCTCCAAAAAAAAACCCAACCCTAATCCAAACCACCACCAACAAACCGCCCTGAACAAAACAGGACACCGGCTCTGAGGGAAGGACGCTCCGGCCGCGGGCGGGGGGCAGCGCCGCACGGCAGCAGCCGCAGGGTAGGGCAGCTCTCCCCTGCCCGCAAAGGCGGCAGGGTGCCGCCGTGTTCGCTCCGGCTCCTCAGGAAGGCTCCTCACGGCTCACCCACCTCACGGCTGAGGAGCGCGGCGGGCCGGGCGGCCCCCGCAGGCACCGCGGCCTGTGGGGACGGAGGGGCTCGTGCCCGCACAGGCTCACTCGTGGCCGCCCCCCGCGCCGCCCCGCGGGGCCAGCACCCACCTGAGCCATCCCCGTGTCCCTGCCGCTGCTCCGCGAGTCGGCGGTGGCGGCGGGCGAGCTCGGCCGCCTCACGGAAAGCCTCCCCCGCCCCGCGCCGCGGCCGCCATCTTTAAACGCCTGCTCGGAGCCGTGCAGTCCCCACGGGCCGCACTCCGCGCTCGCCAAGCCAATTGCGATCCCAGTCTCTTCTGTCACGAATTTGAAATCTCGGCAGCCATTGGTGGACTCCCTGTCATGTTAATCAGCTCTGCCAATAGGAAGGCGGAAGGCATACGCCCTCACGGTAGAAGACCAATGAGAGGGGACAGGGCGGGATTTAGCGGCGGGAGGGCGCGGCCAGCCGCGCGGGGCAGGTTGCGCCCGGCGGGGGGTGGGCTCCTTTGTCTGGTGCGCGCGGAGCCCCCGCAGCGGTGGAGGCGCCGCCGCCATGACCCTGTCCGCGGGGCGGCTCAGCCGAGGGCGGGGATCCCGAGGAGCGGTGCCGTTAAAGCCGGGTGCTGAGGGGCCCGGGGCGGGCAGGGGCTGAGGCGAACGGCACGCATCCTGCCGGCGCGGCGCGGCTTCCCTCGTAACCCCACCGGGGCTCCTAAGCCCCGGGTGCAGCGCGCCCGGCCCTCGCCTGAGGCAGAGCCGCTGTTCCCCGAGGCGGTGCCCAGGCTCCGAGCTCGGCCCTTCCTTGCACCGGGGTGGAACGCCCTGAAGGCGGGCGACGGGATCAAACCCCCCTGAGGGCGGCAAGGCGAGGAGGAGAAGCCGAGGGCGTTCATGTGTTGTGATGGTGTGAGGTTCCCCAATGCATGGGGCAGCTGATCGTTAATGCATTTTGTCCTTTCAATTCAGCCGCTCTCATTTTAAATTAAAAACCAGAGCAGAAGCAAGGGCTGTAGGAAGGTAATTGCCTTTTATCAGAGATGATGGAAGGACAGCTCAAGGCTTTTAGCCCCTGTGCTAGCCACCTAAAAAAAAAAAAACAAACAAAAGCCACTTTCTCCTCTGAACACTGCTGCGTAGCTTCAGGCAGCACAACCCCTTCAAAACCGATAAACAGGATAAACCTAAGTAGGCCGATTCATCTTTCATGGCTTAAGGCCCAAGCAGCGCACAGAGTAAACCTCAAATCTGACTGGTGTTTACACACAATTCCTAAATAACTACAGAAAGTCCTAAAAAAATCCTATGTACACTTACTTCTAAAGGGTTAATGAACATTTGTTGTTCTAATTTGCTCTGATACTCATAATTTGCTCCCCCCAATAGAGAACTACATTAGCTTTTATAGCTACACTTCAATTACAATGTTGCCTCTTCTGTCCTTCACTATCATAACTGATTTGAAAAGAACACCAGACCCAAATACTATCATTATATTAGTTTAATCACCAACAGTGTAATAGCATTTAACTATGCTAAATACTTTTGTTTCCCTCCATATGCAATTTCAGGACATGAGAATCTTCTAACACTTCACGCATGCCCTCGAGGTCCCCAAACACTGTTATGAAAGAGAATAGTAATATTATAAAACAACAGTTGGAAAACCTCTGTTTGGCCTTTCATCTTTGTCTGACTGGACCAACAGATCTAATGACAGGGTGGTAATTTATATGGCCATAATGTCATGGTACTGCATCAACACATAATAAGGTTATTGAAACTGGTTTAAATCTTTGCAAGCTGCCCTGAAACCCAAAGCAGTTTCTCTTAATTCCTTCATAACAGGCTTCTACACTCAAGCCATTATTTTAGCGTGGTTTTTAAAGTATGACTGCTTTTATGAATGTTCAAACCACTCGGGAACACATTTCAATAAATACCCAGTTTTCAAAACACCCATTTACATCACGCTTCGACCTTCACAGCTGAGGAAAAGTCTCATGATTAAGTACAGAACTGGAGTTGCTGTTGGCATTCACTCTGAAGGAGCTGTGTCACGTCACCTCATAAATCGCTACGTGTGACAGGAGAAGATTGTCCCTTTCAAAGGGTGTATGGAACTGCAAGTATCATGACTCATTTGCATCCAACTTTCGTGACTGTAACTGAAGTAACGCACTGAGAGGCTTGCACACTTCAGAAAATAGGTTAATGTTTTTGTATGCACATAAAACAGCATCAGAGCACAAGAGCTCAAGAGGCACAAACAAATTATTGCATTGAATTGAAAGAATCTAAATGCCTGCAGTGCTTTGAAAATGAAAAAGTAACCAGCATGCTGGTTCTTCTACTGTGCATCTGCTCGCAGAGAATAACACTATGATTTACAGCAACAATGCAAGAGCTGATTGAGACATTCACATTACCAGCAGATAAACTTCTCAATTTCATAAACAAAAGGATAACAATCCCATAGCAAAATAACAGTTTCAGCAAAACAACATTAAAATCCTGGTTAAATTCTTAACCCAGAAAGCCTTTATGACCTCTGGAGAATTAAATTGGATCTGCTGTGTCTGACAAGTTGCAAATTCAAGTGGAAATTTTCATCACGGGGATGTCCGACAAAGGACTTGTCAAACATGCACACTTATCTTGCCTTCTGTCCAGCCTTTTGAATTAAAAATGTGCAGGTCCAGCTGCAGAACACAGTCAGGATTTACAATAGTATCCTGACCTACCATTATAATTAAAAGAATTCCTAATGACAAGGGGATTTTCACATACAAGGTAGAGGAAGGCTGGACAGAAACTATTGCTGGACACAAACTACAGAAAAGAAGCCTGTAAGGAAAACAGCTATGAGCTTCCCAATGAAGTTACCAGGCTGCATTCATCAGAATGAAAATTAGGTGGAGCCAGTGTCTTCATATTCTTACAACCTCAGCAGCTGCAGCACATACTGTGCTGTTCTGACCCTGAAAGCTACTGCAAGGCAAGTTTTGCTCGGCCCACATGACTTATTTCAGTAAAATAATTTTGTTTGCAACTTTTAGCATCTTTTGTGGTCCTGGTAAGCTGGTATTTACTCACATTGTGCTTTTGCATCTCACTTTTTGCTGAAATCCGCACTGCTCAACCTAACCTGGGTCAGTCACTACCTGACAGCCATGGAGAGATGTCAGAAGGACCCCCATGAGCAAACTCACATCAGTCCTCTGATGTCAAAAGTGGCAGCTGATTGCTACAGAAAATAATCAAAGCAGACACATCCTTTGGCTCAGTGGTACTGCAAAATTACTAATCTCACACTTGGCATCCATGCAGATTTAAGGCAAACTTAACTGTGTTGTCTACATAAGCACAGCGAACTGGTTTTGGTTGGAGAAGCTTCAGATTGCTGTTAGCATTTTTCTAAAGTCAGTATTACTTAAAATGGGATCTGATGACCAAGAGGTCGAATAAAAAGTAACTACTGTATTTATTTATTTAAGATATTCCAAATTTGGATGTAAAAAAGATCATAAAATAGGGTTGGAAAAGACCTTAAGATCATCCAGTTCCAACCCCCTGCTATGGGCAGGGACACCTCGCACTAAACCATGCCACCCAAGGCTCCGTCCAACCTGGCCTTGAACACCTCCAGAGATGGAGCATTCACAACTTCCCTCGGCAGCCCATTCCTGTGCCTCGCCACCCTTACAGTAAGATGCTGGTAAGATGCTGTTTTTTAAGTAACGAGATGAGCTTCACACTGGAAATCAGACTCAAATCACTCATAAGTAACATGCTCTGCATTGGCAGGTGGACCTGGGTTGATCTGTTGTACAGTGACCGAGGCTGCCCTTGCTTGCTCTTGACACATAGAGTAAACCTGTTCCTAGGGCTGAAAACTCCAAACTCTTAAATACACTCAATTTATCTATGGGAATATTAGAGAAAAAAACAACGTTTATGTGGGACAGAATACCAGTCTTCATACGTGGCTTTCTATGGGCCCTTACATTCAAATAGTTCAGAGTACTTTTCTAGAATAGATCCTATGTATCTGCTCTCTGTGAAGATAAAAGTAAAAAATAATCCTCTGCATCAGCCTTGTGGCTGCTTTCACATCACACACCTTTACCATATGCAGTTGTTAAACCATCTCTGCAAGTCAACCTCAGTTACCTTTCCAGACCTATAGCAGCAGCCCAGTAACTACTACTACTATAGACATTCTGGCTTTTCCTAAAGTTCTCCAGCCACTGACAGTTTCTCTCCCAAGTCATTATACATCACGATGTTTTAAATTCAAACCTGCGATAACAAAGTGTACTTTGTTGTTCCATAAGGCTGCTGTGAGCTACAGCTAAGAAACTGTTGCTCCAATTCCTTAGCTTGGTCTGCTATATTTACTGCTAGTGGCACACAGAAATGAATCAGAAGCATAATCTTTGGCTGCCAAAAATCCAGGTGTAGCTGCACTTATATGAGCAAAGCCATAAATGTCAGTACCTTTGTCTTCCCCAAAAGAGGCAAAATAAGTTATGCTTCTGAAAGCCCAGTTGTGCTGGTATGGCTGTTTTTTATGTAACTGCCGTTCTGGGATTGCTTTGCCAGTCTAAACACATACATATTATACCAAGAGAGTACTCAGACTTGACTGGCACAATATATTGCTAAAGAAACCAGAAAAATTTGCAACTGCTATACTGCAAGGATACTGATCTAACACATTTATCTCACGCTACATCTGTAAATAAAGTAAACCAACTTAAGCAGATTTGGGCCACAAACAATGGGTGGCAAATATTTAATCTCCATGCTATATGCATTTTGGACAGTTTTGCTTCAGGCTAAACCCTGGAGTACCTCTTAGAGTACACTTAACACATTCCTGAAGTGCATGTATCAGTTCTGCTCCTCTGCAAACAGTCTAGTCCCTGTGATCTGAGGTTGCCCTGAAACATGAGCCAAAGCACAGTAAATAGGGACCATCAGAAAAATCATGTAAGGGCACTAGTGATCAAACTAAGGTATTAATGTAGACCCCTCTGTAAATGCCAGCCATTCAAGTGAAACATGACAGACATAAGGCAGATAAATGCTGCTCAGCAAGACCTTGCTTGACTCGCTGGTTACTTCCAGTAGCTATTCACAGCAGAGCTAGTACAGCAAGAGAAAATACACCTTTTCTTGGAAAGTTTTCACCTTTTCTTGGAAGAAACCTTCACCTTTTTCACTGTTCACCTTTTTCTTGGAAGAGCACATTCTTTTAATGAGAGGCAAAAGCCTCAATTA